ATATCTTACTCTGGCCAGTATAAAAAATTGTTTTTCAGTACTTTACATATTTGTATTAAGAGACAATCAGGAGACATTCTGATAAAGTACGTTTTTAAAACACACGAGCCGCAGTATCTATGATTCGACATATGTAATCGACTGTAAATCCTGTTGTTTGTTGCTAGGTGCACAGCAATAAACTAAATAAACGTAATAAACTGAAATGTCCAAACACACACTTCAAGAATACACGCTGTTTAAGTGAAATATTACATTTGACATTTAAACATCACTTCAATTTGTGTAAGACCAAAATAAAAATGTAAAATGTTCTTCTCGTATGTAATAATAATATTAATATTGTGTCGCAAATGTTTTAAGCATGAAGAAAAAGAGAGCTGGTGATTTGATAAAATTGTACTGTAGTTTATCCTATTCTTTAACTCATACAGTATTGGCCACAATGTTTGCATACTGTTCTATATTGCTAATATTTTATACATGCATGGAGTAGTTATTTAGTAAGTGCCCGAGTACTAACAGAGAAGGTAGCATATAATCGGCCAAGCATGTACTAGTTATTATTCTGGTTTGTATAAGTTGTTTTGAGCATTTTTACGTCAAAACACAGATAGACACGTGCTTTGTATAAAAGGGTGTGCTTTTGGTATAACCTTTTCCGATACAGATTAACGCTTTGTTCAGATAATTTCTCTGTACTTGATGTAGAGTCATGCCTCGCCACGTGCCAAATTGTTCGACTGTCCAGAAATGGTATTAAGCAAACGGACATTGTCTTTGTTAACCTGAAGATGAACTAAGAAGGTCGAAACGTTGTTCTTGTACTTTATTTTAATTAAAGTTTTTAATACCCATACCAGCCGTTTCTGCTATACATTGCCAGAACAGTAGAGTTCTCCAAGTGTGGTTCGACTTTTTGAAAATGTAGATGATTAGTTCAGTTACGTGACTTTTTGAGTGCAGCTAGTTAATTATAATATGTAACTTTGTTGTAATGTAGCTGATTATTTGGAATATGTAGCTTTACTGTAATGTAGCTGGTTGGTTGGAATATGTAACTTTACTGTAATGTAGCTGGTTGGTTGGAATATGTAACTTTCCTGTAATGTAGCTGGTTGGTTGGAATATGTAACTTTACTGTAATGTAGCTGATTATTTGAATTACGTAACTTTGTATTAATGTAGCTGATTATTTGGAATATGTAACTTTACTGTAATGTAGCTGGTTGGAATATGTAACTTTACTGTAATGTAGCTGATTATTTGAATTACGTAACTTTGTTGTAGTGTAGCTGGTTGGTTGGAATATGTAACTTTGCTGTGCTATAATTTAGCTTATTATTTCAGTGATTCGATTTTTTCAATTACGTGACTTTTTGAGTGCAGCTAGTTAATTAGAATATTAATCTTGCTTTAATGTAGCTGATTAGTAGTATTATGAAACTCTGTTGTAATGTAAGTGTTTTGTTGATTTTTATCTTTTTGTAATACAGTTGATTAGTTCAATTTTGTAACTATTTTTATTGTACTGATAATTTGGATTATATAACTGTGTCCTATTCTAGCCGATTAGTATAATTCTGTAATTTCTTATAAGGAGCTGATTATTAGAATTATATATGCCTTTACTCCTGTTCTTAAATCTGACTGTGGGGGATAGTAGTGTATTATAGTAATAGGAGATAGTAAACTGCGTAGAATATCTCACCCACTGTGATATACACAGTTTACTTCCAAAAATCACTATAATGCCTTACTACCATTATATCTCACCCACTGTGATATACACAGTTTACTTCCAAAAATCACTATAATGCCTTACTACCATTATATCTCACCCACTGTGAAATGGTAGTAAGGCATTATAGTGATTTTTGGAAGTAAACTGTGTATAATATCTCACCCACTGTGATATACACAGTTTACTATCCAACTATCACTATAACACAATACTGTCCCTACTTTTCGCCCACAACGTTCTAGATATTTTGTTGTCACACTATCACTATAACACACTACTGTCCCTACATCTCGCTCATTGCGTTCTAGATACTTTACTGTTCCAGAATCATTATAACACACTACTGTCCCTACATCTCGCTCATTGCGTTCTAGATACTTTACTCTTCCAGAATCATTATAACACACTACTGTCCCTACATCTCGCTCATTGCGTTCTAGATGCTTTACTATTACAGACTCATCATAACACACTACTGTCTCTACATCTCGCTCATTGCGTTCTAGATACTTTACTGTTCCAGAATCATCATAACACACTACTGTCTCTACATCTCGCTCATTGCGTTCTAGATACTTTACTGTTACAGAATCATTATAACAAATTACTGTCCTTACATCTCGCCCATTGCGTTCTAGATACTTTACTATTACAGAATCATTATAGCACAATACTGTCTGTACATCTCGCCCATTGCGTTTTAGATACTTTACTATTACAGAATCATTATAACACAATAGTCCAGTAGTCCAGTAACTTTACTATTGCACTATCACTATATTTTTAATACACTAAGACTAGAGATGGTGTGTGTCTTACATGTTTACTCCAGCAGGATCATCAGTTGATTACCACCTGTCTTGAAGAGCTTTGTTTCTCTTACAATAAAGAATCCCTTGAGATGGAACGTCAGTAGTGAATGAATTATCAAATTCCACTGTTGGGCTCATCTCACCTAACATAAAATCTTGATGTTATTCAGCCTCTAGTTTATCTACCTTTTTGAAGATACTTTGTCCACTCCCACGATGATCCTGATTTTGCTGTCTTTGACACTACTCTGCTCACTAACTTTATCTTTTTTTATGTTGAAACCTAGGTCGCCCAACCACTTGTGAAAAGAGTTTACAGTGAAACCACGGCAACAGACTTTGAAGAGAAAACAAGAAGCCTTCCAACTTTTACTTCTATACACCCTATTGCCAGCGCTGCTTACTTGGCCAGTTTCTGCTTGTGAGCTTCATCGATGTTATCCTCCCAAGGGACTGTTAACTCTGCATCGATGTTATCCCCCCAAGAGACTGTTAACTCAGCAACCATCACATTCCTTACAACTCTTTAACATATAATAATAACTGTATTGATGGGTATTTCTGCTAGAAACTACCCTTGCCATCGAAATCAGACCTAATGCATCAGTTATTTACAGATGATAGGATATTAAACTTTGAATTGGTGCTGCATACCTTTGGCTGGAAGCTTTCCTTCACAAACGAGATGAGGTGCTTTATGCTACTAGGAGCTTGCTCTGGGATTACTCTGAATACAAGACTGTGTCTCAAGATGTGCATGCTCCTAGACAAGGGAGGATTGGCCATAACAGCGAATCACTGGGTGTGTCTGACAGTTGTAAGTAAGGGCTGGTCCGCCGAACTATAAATATAAATTCAAGATATAATTGTTAGTTGTCTTAGTATAAAGTTTTGATTTTTAAACTCTGAATACCATTATTACCTTATTTTAGGCAAGTATTGAACCCTCCGTTTTCAAGAGGCTAAGGCTGGTTCAATAGCCAAATCACCGAGCCGCTCCGTCCCCCTCCCGGGTCCGCCCCTGTCATAAGAAAGAACAGAAGTACATGCACTGAGAATATATTCTAAGAATTACCTTATTTCCACATGTATGAAAACAATCTGTCTTACCAACTAATGAGATTGGCTGGTGTTGGAAGCAGATCGTAAGTTGAACTCCACGAGAATGAAATTCGTGAAGTTCAATTTGTACACAGAACACTACAACCTTCTCCCACCGTGTCTGTTTAGCTTGCACCACAATTACAGCTAACCTCTTTTTCTCTTTTACCTCTCTAGCTGCCTGCACAACCAACTCCTGTCGCTCCTTATCACTGGATGAAGACCACTACTTGTGGCTTGTACAACCTAGACCTAGGCGCTCCAACTGGATGGGAACGACCATCTATTTGTACTTCAATTCACTGCTACTTCATCTGATCACTTTCGTCTTGATTTGACATCTGGATGAAGATTTTTCATCACTAAGTTTTTCGAGTTTCTCAGAGTCATAAATGGTCTTGCCTTAGCCATTCTGAACTCCTCAACACTACTATCACTATTACTCACAACTGTACCTACGTCTTGCTCAGTGTGTTTCAACCGTCATTACGTTTTGTTAGCCTATTATTACTATAATATACTCCTGTCTTTACATCTCTCCAGTATAATAAAATTCTCTCTGGAGTTGATTTTAAAGATGTGCAGGAGTTTCTTGGTAGCAATTAAAACAAAACCCTTAGAGCGGAAGGTTTACCCCTAAAACTATGTATTTGTAAGTACACTCTGAGTTTAAACAATTATATAATATAACATAACCAGACAAATGAAATATAAAAGTATCCCAAAACCCGTTGAACTTTAGGCAAAATAAATTTAAGATGTATATTGGATAAACGTAGTATGACTATCTAGTCAATTCTACATTCTAATGAAGTTGGAGAGAGAGAGATCTTGTCCTCTTTGTTTTTCCATTAGGCTTCATTCTCGATAAATGTTGAGCTTTTGTTCCATCTTTTAAGCTCTTCTAAGTACTGTAAGGAAAGCAATTACGGTTAAACCACCCAGAAACTTAAGATAGGACGTTAATGTAAGTGCTAGTGTGCTTCTGGTTCTTTACTTACATTCACACTCTTGTGAATGTGGAGATCGAGCAGGCGTCTGGAATTTCATTCTAGAATAAACACAGCTGCTAGACTTTCTCCAATATCCGTATGTAAAAAATCTTCTTTTCTGGAGTATAATCTTTTAAATCTTCCTGTTACGAAAGGTAATATGTTTTTTTATTTACCAAAGCTTTTATGGTTATGAAAAACATTCAGTCGATTGTCCTCTAACAATGTTGCTGCTTGCCATCTGTTGGCGAGAACTGGAACTTGTGTAGCTAACAAATTTTTCTAACGTATGACAGTGTCTCTCAGGTTAACGCAGGTAGTCAGTAGCTTCTCCTCCTACTCCTTTGTGTCTGGTCAACTAACCATTACCTTAAACTTCCCAAATGCCTGTCGTTGTTTTTTACCCTTTCCGTGTGGAAGTGTTTGCGTTGAAAATATTTGCAAGATCTTCAAATTCTATCTCATGTGTTTAGCAGGTGCGTATACATACATATATATATATGAAATGTGTAAGTTCATTCTGTAAGTTTATCATATTAAGAAAAACTGAGTTGTCTTATTTACCTTTAATTATCGTACATGCATATCGTTGCAGTTGAACGTAATTTTAAAATTTGTCATATAACAAGTTGTTTGTTAAACCTTTTTCTCTGTGTGTTGCACAGAAAACTATAGTTATAGTAGGTTTTTTATTAATAATGGTATTAATTTTAGTTAATATGTTTCTTTTCAGGATATTGAATATTAAACGTGGTTACTTAATCACCTTGATTTTTTCAAACGATTATTTTATTATCTCGTTATTAATGGTCAAATATATTCTATAGCGATCTCGAAGTACTAACTGTATCTTAAAACAAAAATGTTTCATTAATAATTTCATTATTCTATGTGGATCGCAAACGTTCACTTGCTTCTAACGTAGAGCACAGAGCCTCATTAGATAAGTTTTATTAATCGTTATAATGTTTCTTTTAGTTAATGAAGCATTGTATTCAAAAATACGTTACTTACTCGGTGATTGTGATTTAATAGAATACAAAGAAGTCCCGAGAGTGTAAACTAAGTTTTATCACAGCTAAAACTTGGTTAAAATATTGTAGTTTTTAACCTAATTCTGGTAATATATAATCAACGTTAAAGGCGACTCTGTTTAAACTTTTTAGTTTTCTGTAATATTAACAATTATGATTTGTTTATCAATCTTTTTCCAGATGGCATGCAACTAATCCATTACAATCATAACTAAATATTTTCTCTTCATGTATGATCAAATGACTCTACTTACAGCTCTTACAATACAGGTAAGTAAGGTTTTCCATAACCGCGTTTTGTATAGTATAGGGTATATCAGGCTATTTTATGCATTTCAACACGAATTTGTTTGTACTTATCTTCAGTTCATCACTTACCTATTTAGTGGCTCATGCATAAATTATTAAATGTCCAAACTTAATAAAAGTAGTGCAGATTATTACCTAATACTAAACTCAAACTGTTTATTTGACATTATTTTATGTTTCGTTTAATTAAAAACTCAAACAATAAAAACTATTTATCGTCAACAAATCAAATTTTTTTTATTTTTAAGATCCTATTCAATGATGTACAATTGGATTCGGATCTTTCCTTCTGTCTCAAGAGTCCTTTGTAATTCCATCATTTTGTCACTTGTAATTTTTACACGGCTATCTATCCAAGAAGAATATAACACATTGACTAACCGTATTATGTTACTTGGATAACTAACTACCTATCCAAAAAAAAATACTGTCTACACAAAATATAGCTTATACAGAATATTAAATCAGTAATAGTAAAATAACTTTGTAGCAACGGCGGATAGTTCAGAAGTATAATTATTTTTCAGAACTATCGGTAACTTTATTCATTGAAAGTGGGAAACAAAACTAACTTTTAAATACAGATTGAAATAAATTTAGGGGATAACGTAAAACGCTACCCTTTCAAATACATAAGTGTAGCAATAATATTTTTTGTTTGTTCTTAAGCACAATGGGATGGCTGTCTGTGCTGTGCCCAACACGAATATCAAAACCCGGCTTTTAGTGATAACCCTTCAGACTTACCGCTGACCTACTGGCGGAAACATTTTGTTTGTATTTTGCGCAAAACTACTCAATAGGCTATAACTTTCGTTTTGTCTACCCCGCATTTGTATCATTGAATAAAACCAACATATTACTATTTTTCATTTGTGCCGTGCACAACTTCAAATAATTGGTTTTACTTATTTGAGTATAGAAATTATTTGGATTTCTTCATTCCATTCAAATCCCAGAGAGAGCCCCCGCAGTGGCACAGCGGTATGTCTGCGGACTTACAACGCTAGAATCCGGGTTTCGATACCCGTGGTGGGCAAAGCACAAATAGCCCATTGTGTAGTTTTGTGCTTAATTACAAACAAACAAAAACCAGAACGTAACATGTTCACACAAAAAAACGCACATTTTGAATACTTTAGTTTTCAAACTTACCTTTTGATTTCTTAATGATTGTATTACAGCTAGAAAATCAGCTGTTAAAGGAATTAATATGCAATTGATATTTATTTTTGAACATGATATAGCGTAAACCGTATTTAACGTTATAACACTTGCCGTTTAATCAGCCACTATCATTACACAGAGATGCATATCAACTGATCATTTTTACATATAGATACAGATAGAAGTTATGATTGAATTAAAGAAGAAAGCAATAAAAACTATAACTACAGTTTCTACTTTATAGCCTTTAACTTATATATTTAACAAATTGTATGATATGAACAAAAGTTTTTGATGAAAAATGCATATCTGGTTTGACTTCTTGAATCTTAGGCTTATTAGCGTTAACGCACAAGATCTTATGCTTGTTATCTATAAAAAAAATAATAAACATCCATCTTCTTCACCAGCTAATCCTTACTGTTGGAGGTTTAAATAACCACACCATCACAACTAATCCACTTTACTGTCGTACTGAGAGATCTCTTGGTGCATATTTGTCTTTGGCGCGTTATCACGATGACACTTGTGCTCGTTGTTACCACTATATGCCAAGGTGGGCCTTCGTGAACAACACAAAACCTTTTCGGTGAGAGCAAGCTGCTTCTTTATATTATTTATCTTCTTACGCTCTAAGAATAGTTTAATGTTTTCCCTGTTTGTTTGTTTTTTGGAAATTATAAAAAATTATTAATAATGATTTTTGAAATATCAAGTCGTATAAGTAGTTGGAAAGTTGCTCATTTGAAACGTTGTCAAAGAGTCATTTTTTTTAGAAAATAACATAAAAGCAAAAAGTAATGGCTAGTCTTCCCTCATTATATCTGTCTCCCTAGATTGAATATAGATTTATCACAAACAATCAGTAATAATTATAAGTTGAGTTGCGAAATTCTAAACGAGTTCCTTCATAAGAAGTACTGACCACAAAGAAAATATCTGTTACAAGAAGCTATTTATATGCAAATTTAACTTTAATATTGCGAATAAATACGAGCGTCTCTAATGTAATTGTACTGCGTAACAATTTAGTATTTCAGGAAATGTATCATGTATGGTTTGAGTAAATTGCAGTGAGATGCTATGAAACATTACTTTACCTTTTGTGTCTCTGTGTTGCTCTATTTGTGCCTGCTTTTATATATTTATTCGTCGCTTTATTTGTTTCCATCCTTCTATGTATAAAAGTTGGTTTTATTATGTTTTAAAAATTGGAATCTTGTTAAAATAGTTACCTAGGGATAATTGGTCAACTCTACGAGCCTTTTGCCAAAGTTTTATTTCATCCACAACCAAGGAATCGTTCTCATCCAATCTTTGCTACTTTCAAATCCAGCCGGTATGTCGACTTATGGCTGTCCTGTTGTAAAGCCGCAGTAGAATGCTGTCATACAATGTTATCTACGCCTGAATGGCAATCAGGTAGGTTTCCAGTGAAATCTCTCAACAGCATTTCAAAAATAACATGATACTTACTGGCCTAAGAGTAGATTTCGGTTTGGTATTTTTTTGTACAGGTAAATTAGATATTTGAGAGAAACGCTACTTCCATATGCATATAATGTTGGGAAAGGGAAGTCTGAACTTTCAAAATCAGTTTCACAACTTAATCTTGCTAAATTCTGCACGTCTTATTTGTATCACTAAATTACATGTTGTCGTCTCTAGTTTTAGGCTTGACATGGCCTCGTGGCTAGAGCACTCGACTCGCATCCCCTTCCTGAACATCATTACCCTTTGGGGGCAATAAAATATAACGACCAATTTGTGGATGTGTTTTAACTTATCAAAATTTAATAAACACCTTTATGTCATCCCGTTGAATCAAAATAATTTTTGAAAAGCCAATTTTCAGAGTATCGTTTATGTCGCTTTGTGCTAGTAAAATATGTTACATTTTTATATTTCAAAGCAAATGCACGTGCAATAAGCATGTTTGAACATGTTTTGTTTTTATTTGAGTTTCGAGTAGGTTTACTGTGCAATTTTCAAATTTTTATTATACAAATTCAATATTTTGTTAAATTCTGTTAACAAGTGCATAAACAGGGATGACAAATTCAAGCTTTTGAAGGAGGGATTTTATAAAGTCGTTCTGCTGTTAGTAAGGGTATAAACAGGGATGACTAATTCAAACTCACGAAAACAAGACAAGTACTCACAGTATCAACATTGCCGGATATGATTTTTAGTTTTAAAAGACTTTGTGTGGTTAGATAAGAATACGACCTGAGTGAAATACAACAATTCTATATTTTTGTTGAATTTTGACACGTTCTCCTAGCATATAGATACTGAGTGAAATACAACAATTCTATATATTTTGTTGAATTTTGACACGTTCTCCTAGCATATAGATGCTGAATGAAATACAACAATTCTATATATTTTGTTGAATTTTGACACGTTCTCCTAGCATATAGATACTGAATGAAATACAACAATTCTATATATTTTGTTGAATTTTGACACGTTCTCCTAGCATATAGATATTTACATATCCCCTTTAATCACAATTACTTTCTGATGAAATAAACTAAAAAAACTCTTTCGTAATGTTATTGATTTTTGTAAAACTAGACACTAGATGGTACTGTTTTTCTCTTACATGTTAGTATTATCAATTTGAAAGGCAATTTATGCGCTAATAGACTAAATTGATACGAACTAATGATCAGAGAGCATTTGCCACCACAACGGTTTGTCCGCTTTGAACAGAATGAGGAATTGACGCGATCACAGCTGAAAATAAGGTAGTTTCAGTGACCCCCGCATGAACCTTCAAACATGTCTGTAATATGTGTCACATTATAGCCAATGTAATTAACTTCTTGGTAAAGGATGTTAAAAACGGGTTTATGGATATTTTGAGAGTAACCAGATGCGTTATATTAACAGGGCGGTCAACCGGCAACTTCAAGTTTGATGTAATGTACAAATTAAAACTGAAAGCAGCACCTGGCAACGTAACTGTACAATGAAAGCATAATAAATAGAAACCAAAATGTGTCTTATTTGTATACCACTCGCTAACCCCTGAAATACGAAATGTGTGAAGATACATTTCTACCACTTTATATCAACATAAATAAACACTTTATTCTTTTTCTCATACAATATATCTTTATTATTGTCTATTTTGTTTGTTTTTTATTAAGCACAAAACTACATAATGGGCTATCTGTGCTATACCTGCCACGAGTATCGAAACCCGGTGTTTTTAGCATTATGTCTTCAGACTTGCTGCTGAGCCCACATTGACGCATTAGGAGTATTATTGTTTTTTATAAATGCGCCAAACCTGTTTTAATTATTTGAATAACGTATTCTTCAGAAACATAATACAATTCAATACATACCACAAAGTTACATCAAAATGTATCACTACTTATAGACACGCACCATACACACACACTAACATTATACATTCCCCACATATCTTTAGATGGACCTTCACCAAATTTGGTATTGAGGTTCATTGGGTCCATGGAGAGATACATTTAAATTTGCGGTTTCAGATTTAGTGTTTTGCAGTTTTTCTGGGCGTTTTTTGCAATTACATATAAGGGAAGCAACTTTTCATGTCCTACAATAACGGGTACTCCAGCTAGTGTATATATATATAGATTTAAATATTTATACATTTTCATCTGATCACACTTGTGCTCCAGTGTCGTCTGCCAGCAGGTCAAGGCGCAAACACAAAAATCAAATATTATGGTAGGTGCACATACACACACATAAAAAAGATGAATAATGAAAATACTGATTTCAGCATATACATCAACGAGACAAACCCAAATTACGCGGAGTCTGGAATAGTGGATGTAATTGCTCTCTTTTCACTCTCATGCCTACCCAGAGAATTACCCATGCTGTTGGTACCAGAGTAGCTTTGTATTCTTTGAGCATGAAAATAACCTTGAAACGTAATTCAATATAAGATTTTTTATCTAAACTGAAATATCTGAATAGACAAATGATATATATAAAATAGGACATATTTTCAATATAAACTACTTTGCATTTTATGATAGAGTTAAATTAAGAGAACGATATTAATGTGTTTTTTACATTACTCTATCGTTTCCACAGATCTCTATTTTTATGAGTTTCAACACAAATTTCAATTTCATTTTTTTCTTCACCAATGTTACATTTGTCTAGCATCATTTTTTGCGGCTAATGAATAAAATATACAAGAGAAGCTGGTTTATTTACTTTCAGCAGATTGTGGTCAATACTGGACAGAGATTTCTGACGACCAGAACTCATCTATGTACTTAATTTTATTTTTTAAGTTTTATAGCAGAAACCGAAGTCCACCGATATGTCATGGACGTCATTATGTTATAATGTTAACCATTACAAGTAATTTTCTTGCTTTAAAGGTTAATTCTCCTTCTGAGCTTTGTTTTAGAGTAATACACATTTAGAGCCAAATAGAGGTTTACCGGGAAGTTATAAAGATTAAATCTAAAATTAGATAAATTAGGCTGAATATTCTCGGTAATTGTGTAGTTACTTAAACTTCAAGTTTCGTGTACTTTTACCTTCGTACTCAAAGTACGTGAATATATCTGGGTTTCAAAATTTACACACTGTGGGAAAACTCACCAGTAAAGATGTTTCTTTCTCTTTGTAGACATATCTAAAAGGTATTCTTGAGTTACGCTTTTAAATAATACTTTAATATTCTGCTATTTAATCAAGGAATGAAATACTCGACATACTGATTATATCAAGCGACTCTTAGCATTATTCTTCAGTAACTTGTAAACTTACTTAAGATGTTTATAAATAGTTTTACACAACTTAAACCTTAATAACATTTTAGAAAAGAAAGATAAATGGCATATAGCAAAGTAACTATTGATTTATAAACTTGCAAGTTGTACTGCATGCCATGAGTTGTATCCTAACCCAAATGTGATTATTTTGTCACAAATAGTAGTCCGAAAATAGTAACTGTTCGGCAAAAAACACAGACCGTTTTATGGTATATGGAATTTAAGCTTATTGTTTACATGGAGTACACCATGTTTATCATCATAGATGAGCAGAATAGCGCAGTTCAATTAATCGATGGTATAAGCGCAGGGTCTGTGTATCGTAGTTTAGAAAAACTGTAGCAGAATTAACAAAGTAAAGACACAGTCGCCTCATTTAGTGAGGCTTTTCAACGAAGACCGTGCTGTTGGACTTGACATACCAAGGCGACAGTGCTTAAGATTTTAAAACGTATCTAAACATTAATGCACCAGCTGTGTGAAGAAGACCACGAGACTAGTGACGACTACCACGATATGCTTTTCGATTGCATTATCCCGTCCGACAGAACAGTTCTGTGCGAAAAGATGTAGTTTTCGGATATGGAGAGATGAGAACCCACACTTCGTTCCATCTCTGCAAACAGCCTAAGACATAACTGTCGAATATGTAGAGTATCCACACATATTTCATCTGTTTGAATATTCGAAGATGTAACTGTCGAATTTGGGGAAAGAAAATCTACACTTCATTCCATCTGTGTGAATACCCAAAAACTTAATTTTCGAATATGGGTAGATGACAAATATACATATTTCATCTGTTTGAATAGTCATAGACTGAATTGTTGGGTATGGGGAGAGAAGTACCCCCCACATTATTCCATCTGTGTGAATAGTAGTTACATATAGCTAATGTGGTTTTCACTCAGGATACTCCAACATCAATATGATATTTTATGTCAAACAACTAAAGAGAAGTGTAGAACAAAATGAATACCACTGTATATAGCCTTCATCGATCTCATGTATGTTGAACAGACATGGTCTTTTTACTGTTATGAAAAAATTGGATTATCCCTTCCACCCAAAATATAGTAATTGAACATCACTTGCTCATTACATCGAGGTATGATGGAAACTGTATTGTAAGAAGAATCTAATGCCTCTAATATCATCAATGAAATGAAACAGGGATGTATGTTAGCCCCTGCATTCTTCAACATTTATTTTTCATTCTTGCTTATTCATACATTTAAGAACTGCACTGATGCCATTTATCTTCAAACAGACTAGACTGAGGTTTGTTCAACATCACAAATTTAGGATGAAAAAGAAGGTGAAAGAGAGATTTGAGAGATTTTCTGTTTGTAGATGATGCGATCTTGGTTGCCCACAATGAATCTTCTCTGCAAAATCTTAGGAACAGCTTTTCTGCATCATGTAAGAGCTTTAGGTTGACAATTAGTCTCAAGAAAACTGTGGTCATGTACCAATGGATAGACGAATCAATATCCGACCTCACTTTGAATGATAAATCTCTTGGTGTTGTCGGCAGCTTTTGCTACTTGAGTTCTAGGATCATCAGAAATTTTCCCTTTCAGATGAAGTGACTAACAGAATCGGAAAATCAATCAAGAATTTTGGGCTTTTACAGAAATGAGCACGAAATAATAGCAAACTGTCAAGTAAGGTGAAGATTCGAACACATGAGACTTGAGTGCTATTATCAGGCTTTATGATTCAAGAAACAATGACTACATATACTAGGAATATCAAGAGACTGAACAAATTCTACGTGAGATGTCTTGGCCATATTAGAATGGAAGAAGACCGTCTTCCTAAGAATATTGTATACAGAGAGATTCGAGATGGCTCTAGAAAGTGGGGTCGCCCTTCATGGCGATACAAAGTCATGTGTGCAAAAATGATACGAAGTCGTTTAACATTAATGTAGAAAGCTGAAAGGAGCATGCAAAACACACGCACCTCCCAAAGGAACATCTGACACTGGGTAGAGCTCAGCATGAACCAGCTTTGATCCAGAGTAAAGCGAGAAAGACGAAAGCAACAAGTTATAAACTCAGATTCCAACTCGGACAGCACATAGATCTGTGAAATGTGTAACAAGCAATGTTGCTTTTGTATTGGACTTGTCAGTCACAAGCAGACTAATCAGGCACCTTGACTAGATCCCGGGGATCGATAGTTGCCAAAAAGACCCTACCTGTAGTGAACGTTGTATGAAGAAGTCGGTGATTTGAGGGTTAAATTATATTTTAGTGATGAAAATAACTTCTTTCTCATCGTTTATTGACTAGCAATTGCCAGCCACTCCCGTGTGACTTAATTTCTGCCTAAAATGTTTTTCTCAGCATGCTAGTTTTATTTATTTATTTTTTTAAATTTGCTATATTTTAGATAGCTATTGGTTTTCCTTCTTTATTTATTCTGATATTTCTAACTGTTTTTGGATTTACAATTACTTTTTGCAGTGGCTCTAGTTTCAGTATATTGTTTATAATGATTTATTTTTGAAACTTACTCTTTTTCCATACAAATAACGCTATTAGTGTCATGTGTCTCTTTTCATTCATATACAGAAGAATTTTTACACATTAGACCCCATTCCCTAATAACATTAACATGTCCTCTGTTTTCAGGGCGAGATAATAAAGAGAACACAGCGCTATATTAGGAAACGTATATAAATATGATAAACTTTTTACACTTGATTCAATTTGTAGTTCAATATGATGAAAGAAAAGTCAACTTCCAAAATCACTCAAGGTATCTGGTTTCTTTGATATTAACTTTATTAGGTTGAGGTTAAAAGCTGCAATATCCTATTATATTACAATTTAAGAATCTCTGCTTAATCCATACTAGAAGGTTTCAATGTATTAATCATAGCTCTTCCTAAGCGAATTTTTACATTACACGTATGGAAGTTGTCTTATCGACATATTATCCAATTGCAAACAGTAAACAATATGACAGTACATGATAAACATGTGTAACTATATACAACGAATAGATTTGTTAGCAAGAATATATTGTGTCTTGTCCTTGAAATTCTGAGTTATTACCATATCTTTTTCTCTCACATATTTTCCTATGCGCCTGCCCTAGATGTTCCTTACTGTCCACGAACTTGGGATGGTTGGCAGTGTTGGCCGGATACTCCTGCTGATCAAATGGCCTATATCCGCTGTCCTGACCATATTTATTTTAAAAACGAACCGCCACAGTGCCCACGTGAGTATAATTACTTCTTAACAGGTAATTTTGTTCTTGAAGTATTAGTTGACGTTAAAATTTAATTTCCTGATTTGTCACATAGATAGCGTTATCAATTTTTCAAAATTGTTTCAAATTATTGTATATATATGTTAGTTCAGAAGAAATATAATTGAATTTCGTGTTTTTATAGTTTTAATGGAAATCATGGATAATTTGTGAAGGTCTACAGCAAAATAACGCATTTTATATAAATCTGAAAGAAAGTTGGAGACTTCAGGAAATTTAAGGAAAAATTAAATACTTTCGGAAGTGTGCATGAAAGAAAATTATCCTTAAGGAATTGTTGACGAAACATAAAGTTTATGGAAAGATATTGGAAGATCTGAGGATACTTTATAAATCTGTACTAAAATATCAGAAACTCTGATATTGTATAAAAAGTAATTGAGTCCTCTATATTTATTCCCTTGTCGGCAATTCTTAAGTTTGTCAAGCCCTTTGTGCCCCCTTTTGGCTGCGGGGGTATATTTACGTCACTGCGTATGGCTATATACTTTATAGAAATCTACCGAAAGTTGTGATTTTTACAAAAATTTACTGAAAATCTGAACAATCTGTGGAGATTTAGGAAGAACTCATGTACTGTGCATAAATTTACCTTACGCCGATATTTACACAAAATTGCTACAATCTTGAAGGTCTATTTAAATCTACTGATATGTTAAATACTTTATAGGACTCTTATGACACTAAAACTTATCACAAAAATTTCTTGCAAAATCTAGATAATCAATCTTTAGAAATCTTTTAAGAAGCCACATAGTTTGTATAAATTTGGTTAGCATTGGAAGTTTTACAGAATTTACTGCAAATTAGAAAATATACGGAATCTACTGAGAATCCAGAATATTTACAGAATGGTATTCTCAGGTAAAATGATTACCTGCAGTTAAAAAAAAAAAACAACTGCCATAAAAATAGGTTCAGCAGAACAAACCTTACAGGGTTAAACTGAATTTTTACCTGATTATGTTGAAGAAGGAAACTGGATACACGATTCACAGTGAAACACAAATGTTTGTTGAATAAACATAGAATTTACGTTTGATATATAAACAGATTGATATTATAATCAGTACTTCAGTATAATATATTAATATTATAATCAGTACTTCAGTATAATAGATTAATATTATAATCAGTACTTCAGTATAATAAATTAATATTATAATCAGTACTTTAGTATAATAGATTAATATTATAATCAGTATTTTAGTATAATAAATTAATATTATAATCAGTACTTCAGTATAATAGATTAATATTATAATCAGTACTTCAGTATAATAGATTAATATTATAATCAGTACTTCAGTATAATAGATTAATATTATAATCAGTACTTCAGTATAATAGATTAATATTATAATCAGTACTTCAGTATAATAGATTAATATTATAATCAGTACTTCAGTATAATATCTAGCTTCGCTAGTCTATTTACTCAAGAATCATAGGATACGATAACAACATAAACTCATTTAATGTATGTGTACACAGAGGACGATTACACTTAATTCTCTCTTCCTTTTTTTTCTCTTTTAGAAAGAGTTATGTTGGCCTTTCATGGTTTGGTGGGTAGGGCAATGATTCGTAATGTACGGACCGAATCCCATCACCGAACATGCTAGTCCTTTCAGCCTTGGGGACGTTATAAGGTGACGTTGATAAAACAATATCCCAAGAGTGGTGGTGGGTGGTGTTGATTTATTCCCTTCCAACCAGTCTGAAAACTTTCAAAATTAGAAACGGCTAGCGCATATAGCCCTCGAGTAGCTTTGTACAAAACTAAAAACGTTAAAAACAAATAAGATTTATACCAGGTAAGAATCTGTGTAAGACTGAGAGCCAAACAAAAGGAAGAAAACAGAAATGCAGATATTTCTAAGCTTTTACACGGATGAATCGATTAGAGAACACATTAATACAGCAAACCGGGCCCGTGGGAAAGTCCAGAATTATCAGGGAGAAATGACCCTTGACAATGTGTGACTAACAGAATAATAAGGTCAGGGCAGTCAGATATCAATGCAAAAATGCTCAACTTGTCCATCAGCGCACTTAAATGCGAAAAATGTTTGAACTACAAAAGAAATAAACACGTAATCAATCTCTCACCAGCAACAGAAAACTTCCGAATTTTCAGACCCTCACAGTAATATGTTAAATAGCTAGCTAATATACTGAAAGACTGTTCAGTTGTTCATACATGAGTCTCTCTAGTTAAGTTCCTATTTACATATTAGTTTTCCCCGTTTTCCGCTTATGATTGTCGTTAAAATGCTTGAAATATGTTTCCATTTATGCGTTTTTTTACGTATTACAATTTCTAATGGTCTGAAACCGAAATAAATGATAATTTAAATTTAGTAGTTAAATAAATATCGATATATCTCCAATTTATGATATTTGCCAACAAAATTTGTACACACAATTTTCTTATTTTTTAACACAAATATATTTTAATACGCAAACAGTAATACAAGTTAAAATAACAGTAATTACAAATAGTTATTACAAACAATAATTTATATACAAAAGCTTTACAAACTTGCAAGCAATATAAAGTTTTCTTTCTTGATGTCTTGTCGAGGGTTCACGATGAGCGAGTTAATTTCGAGTTGATGTAGGTACAATTCACTTAATAGGGAACTATCTAGCTCTGTAGTTCTCAATGATCACTGGTCGAGTTTCTCTTACCCACTGCAGTTATGTAATATCTTCGTAATAGTACTAATGTCCGATGTGAATCCACTGAAGTTAAATGATTTGTAATGTTCGAACTTTGTGAATATTCCTGGTCAAATATATGAAGTTTCCCGATTAATAAGCGTTATAACAATCACAGTTATAGCTTCCAAAGTTTATAACACATTGACTATATGCAAACCAATAAAGATACTCTTTTTTTTTTGGCGCGTCGCGTTGGTTGTATTTATAGGCGTGTAGAGAGTTTCTCGAAAATTCAGATTACGTAACAATACTGACGCTAACACTATCGTTTACGTACACATATATTGTTGATTCTTACACTCGAGAATCGTCTACAACCTTAGAAAATAGACGGGAGTTTCGCAATTCATATTCAACACTATAAGCTATGTATTCAAATTCGATGACGAGGAACCCACTTTGAGACTAATAATGGCTGGAGATGGCTTGAATGGGTAATGAAGCAAAACATTCAAGCCGTCTCCAGCCATTATAAGCTATGTATGTTTCTAAATATAAACTTAATCTGAGCAAACGTCGATATTAAAATAAATATATAATAATAAATCCGTCCCAGGTTTCATACGTTGGTAACACATTCTTAAATTAGTATCAAGTTTATGCTTTCCTGTGAATTCTCGGCCCAGCATGGTTGGTTAGGGCGCTTGACTCGCAATCTGAGAGTCGTGAGTTCGAATCCTCGTCCCACCAAACATGCTCGCCTTTTCAGCCGTGGGGGCATTATAGTGTGACTGTCAATCCCACTATTCTATAGCGAAAGAGTAGCCCAAAAGTTGGCGGTGGGTGGTGATGATGGCCTTCCCTCTAGTCCTTCATTGCTAAATTAGAGACGGCTAGCGCAGATAGCCCTCGTGTAGCTTTGCGTGAAATTCAAACAAACTGTGAATCCTTTATCTATCTATTTATATTTTACAATATACTTTACGTATTTCTGTTATTTGTGTATTTTTTGTTTGTAAGCACAGGGCTACACACCGCGATTACCTAAACCCAATAGTTAACGTTGTAAACCTTCAAATACTGCTAAGCCATCTGGAGACCATGTTTTTCTTGTTTTGTATTTAGGCAGAGTTTGGTTACGTACTGTTTTTTGTGTTTTATATAATTTAAATATGATTGTTCGTTATATACAAAACACGAATTACATGTAATCGTTAGTTTTTTTATTCGTTATATATCTTTGAGGCCTTATAACTTGCATTAATTTTATTCACGTCTCGATAGTTGAGATAACAAGTTTAGTATCTACTGTATTGTAGTTTTATCGAACTTTTAAAGAGCTTTCTGCAACTTTTATCGAACTGGTGACATAACATCTTAAACAACTATACATACCATTAGAAGGAATACAATGTTAAAATCATTACATAAGAAATGGTGATTAAAACAGGGACTTTCCCTAAAAAAAGGCTCTACATATAGTTCTTTGTTCTATGACACCATTTTCAGGAGTAACGGGAAAAATATGGTTGGGACTTACATACCCACATAATTATTTATATTCCTATAACGCCATCTAGGCTTAAACTTACCGTTGCTCCTGAATATGGTGTCATAAAACTACGAAACATATGTAGAATCTTTTTAGTGCAAGTCGCTGTTTTAATAACTATTCATTGTGTAATGATTGTAACATTGTATTCCTTTTTTATTGTATATATATAGATGTTTTATACAAGTTTTGTTTTAAATTATTTATCTTAGACAACGTTGATTTGTTTTCTACACTACTATTCCCTCTACAATGGTTCATATGGGAAAAAGCAAGAAAACAGAGTGCATCAATATGAATAAACCATTAAGAAACGCCAATCTTATAAATAAGACGTAATTTAGTACAAAGTCTATGATAACTTTTCCTAGGTTACGCCATGAAAATGTGTAGGCCAAACGGTACTTGGTTCGTTAGCAAGCAGTCAAAGGAATGGACTGACTACAGCCACTGTGGAATTGTTGATGTAAGTAAAGATTTCTTAAGAGTTGTATCAGTTGGAGGAGAATTACACTATGGGTTTCAATGGTATATGTCAAATCAACGATTAAACGTTTCGACTTTAAAGTATGAAGGTCATTTGACCGAAACGTGGCGACATATTTTTCTTTCTCTGAGAACGATTTAAAACTTTTATTTCAGATTTCATCACTATTTAACTGTATTTGTGTTTCACTGGTGTTATAAGATAAAGTTAGGACTGCTTTTGCGAATGATCATTTGCATTTTGAAGTTCACTGCCTGATGTAAGACGTGTTGTGTAGTCCTTGTTTAGACGTAGGAAAAGTCATTTATGTCTCTTTAATTCCCCAGTTTTGGACAGCTTCATTGGGTGATGAACAGTACAGAATTTGCCGAATATACACATAATAATGTCAGTTGATGATGAAGTACTCTCGATAATATTTGTTTAATCATATTAGTACTTTACAAACATCAATTGATAAAAGAACATAGTTTGATGGCCTTGATTAGTGACAAGTAGAAAAATATTCTAAACTTGAAAGCTACCAGTTTCTCAAGTTGTGGAGGCTAATTACATTCCTCATGACTATGTTTGTTTGGGTTCCGATTCCTTTGTTCTAAACCTGTATACCAGACACATAATACCAATATACTCATGGTTCCGAGACTATTTTCACCTTGCTATACATGGTGGTTCTCTATTATTTATTTCTTTCTGACCCAAACTTTACCATTTCTCCTAAAAACAACGGAAGCAAAGAACTTAAATATACCTTATATTTCTATTAATACAACAAAAGATTAATTATTATAATTCATTACATGTTTCCATATTGAGGCATAAAGTGCGACACAATTTAAAGGTTACGACACTTAACAGCAACAACATACCAAAGAGAAATTTAAAAGAATTGCAATTTTTGCCATACGGCAATGATGCAGTGAACCAATTATACACACTTCCAAGTTTTAAGGTTCTTCTACCTTAAACTATCGCCACTTTTTTTTACTATCTCTTACGACAGTGTCTAGCTATCTTTGTTTGCTATTCCTTCTTACGTAACACAGAGAATAAAAAATGTTTTTAGCAAGCAGAATAAAACATTGGATAAACACCAGCACATTGAATTTGTTCACATTTTGTCGTGTTATCGTTGTGAGGTTTCATTTCCTGAGTTAGCTTATGATAAATTGATCAAGGGCTAGTTTAGAACAAAAATACTATATAGATTTTAAAAAAGGAAGTCTTATTTCGCTCTGTGTTTTTTTTTTCAAGGAAAAACTGCAGAATTAGGTATCTGTACAGTGCCCACAGTGGGAACCGAATCCAGAATTTTAACATTATGAGCCATCAAGCGTTCTTCTTAGTGACAATAACGTAAAGGACTATTCGAAATGCCCAGTCTTTACTTGTAGTTTTACGGAAACATCTGAGCTAAACTGCCAAGTTTTGATTCATAATTGTTATACTTCATTATTATTCTAATACTGTGTGTCTTTCTATAAGTTATACGTACATTACTGTCCTCTTTTCCCAAGAAAGTATTTTTGTGCTAAAAATCAAATCTGAAAGCTACAAACATTCCAAAATACACTATTTCATTTATGCACTTATAAAAGAGACTTACAGCAATATATTTAAAGATATATTTGTTTCACAAGTGATATTGTTTTATCTATTTACCTAGGCAATATCAGATCAAGTACGTAGACAGGTTGCAGTATAGTTTGGGTCAATGAAAAACTATTTTACTTTTGGTTGTACTTTTTCATTTCACTAATTCTTTCTCAACTTCTGTTTTTTTTATTTTACTAAATTAAAAAGTTAAAGAAGGATGTCATGCGCATAGTCTAAAGCTAGAACATTTATATTGCAAACATGCGACTGAAGGTTCCTTAACCTTAGATACTGAATGAATTTCGTTGCTAAAAATGCAGCGTACTGAACATTCAAGTGTACTTTATTTTTTTATGCTTAGACCTAAAAACTGAGATTCCAGAAATTCATTGTAATATCAGATCCTCTTTCCCACATAATTTTAAAGGTATTAAACCTTATATGTTTGAATTGCCTTAGCTAACAATAATACAGTCAGAGAATTTATTTCTTTAGTGATTAACTTATCTGTTTGAAACCTTATCACATTTTATTTATTTTTTTCATACGTTTCATTCTACTGTTAGTAGAATAAGTAATCACTAAAACTAATTTATTTAGTATTATATTGTTAGATGAAACTGTACCTCATAATAAGTTCCACAGATTTTGCTGAAAACCAAAAATTTACGAAATAATATATTTTTGAACACCCCGAATTTAACCCCAAAATGATTTTTAATATTAAAAAAAACTGGATATTTGCTGCTGTGGCATGCTAAGATATACTTCTCCTTCCTGAACTCAGAAACTTCTTAGGCTTGCACTTTTAAGATTAACCTTAAAAGAACATAATCAATTGGCTAATTAATTGAGGCGTATTTTTCGTAATTATCTCTCCTTACAATATACAAGACGCCATGACATTTACGTGTGAAATACTCAGAGGAAACCTCTATTAAATAATAAGGTTCCAAAAGTCAAACAAAACAAGAACAAGTTAACACATTGTGAAATTAACTGTAAATAGAAGTACACTTAAATCAGAAATACAATGAAATAAAATGCAAATGAGCTCAAAATAAACAGAGCTAAGAATCATGTAATATAAATAGACTGGACAGTACAAAACCCCAAATAATCAAAACACTTTGTTCAAAATAAACTCAAAATCATACAAATCGTGATACAAAATTGATTGGCTTAAATAACTTGTGTTTCAGAGTACACGAGTTAAATATTAAGTGAATAAAATAAGTAAAATCATGCTTAATTTATCATACACACATATTCATAAGACATCAGCAGTTTGAGTGATCTTGAGTACAAATACTAAACCTACTGGATTATAATAAATGCATAATTACTTTCATAAGACCATCTCAAGAGAACACAAAATAAATTATTGTAGTTAACATAAAACGAGTGCATAACAACTACTCGTTCAGAAATAATATTAAGAATGAATGTTCAGTAATATCCCCAACTTGTAAAAATTGTTTAGTTCTATAAACTTAGATCAAACCAAATTATTTTTGTCTGGGAAATTGAACTCTTATACATTTTAAGTTTCTGCACATAAATATGTATATATAAGTTAATATAAGTTTTAACCACAGATGTATCAATACACATTCATATATTTTATATGAATTACACTACATGATGTACATACATACATTCCTGATCATTCAAGTCGATCAGCCATTTACTGATACATTTTCCACTGATATAGTGAGTTACCTACCGTACGACTAACGATGGTAATGTTTAACTTCCACTGTAAATGTAAGCTGTTGACTTATAGTTACTTATTTGGTCACACACACTCCAGTTTGTTCATGTCTACAATTTTACTGTTACCGGCATTAGTATCCAATATTACTGAATAATGATGAAGATAAGCCGATACTGGTTCTTCAATCAAAGCCTGTTTTAGGGCCTTGGATGAGTGATAGCATTCATCTCTCCATCCAAAGTGTGTATCAGCTTTAGTCAATGAAAACAGTGGTGTGAGTATCTTTAAAAAGTTGACCTAAAACTACTGATAACATAATGTAAAATCTGCATATATGCAAACTTCTTGTTGGGCCTCAAGAAGGTCCAGTCCTGAACCACAGTGATGTTTAAGGGGATCAGTGGACCCCCCCCCCCCCCCAGTTCTTCCTAATACATGATAGAGATTTTCCATGTTTTTGCACATCAACATTTAATTTCCTGGTTTCAGTTTTAAGCTTGCATCTTTAAAATGCAGATATACCATTCTTTGGATCAGTGGCGGCCTAAAGCAAATCACAGAAAACAAAATGTCACTCAAATAGATGAAACGATGAGACGAGACATCTTTCTCATTGGGTTTATCCCTCCGGTTTAAGCTCAATAAATTTCTCTAAAGTAGCAGAAGAAGTTTCATAACACAGGCTGAATGCATGATGCAAAATTCATACATTTCTTCTAAACTACAGAATACAGTATTTTTATTGTTTAGTTTGACCTCTAAGTAGCCAAAACCTAGATCTAATATACTTAACCAAGGTGTGTCTTCCACTAAATACAGACAATAATCGATATGCAGCAAACAAAGTAAAAAATTTTCATCCCCTCCTTATTCTTCACATTCACAGTTAGAGGTGATCAGATACTCTCTGAAGAATGTTTTATCTTTTCTTTAACATCTCAACCTCAGTGCTGGCAATACCTCTGGTGTTTTATGTGATGGTATGTTATTATTGCCTTACCCAAGTGGCCATACGGCCTCTCAAACATATCAGAAAATTCAATGAACAACACATTGAGTCATTCTATCTGAATTGAGTTCATATTGTGAACATAACCCTCAATCAGTAACTTAAAGTGCTCTGTTTGTTTTAGATATAGAACAACTTCGATGACGCCGACTACACAGCTGATCGGCATCCTCCTCTGCTTCCATTTTAGCTGGAAGCTAATGGTCAGATATTCACAATTACAGATAAGTAGGGACATAAAGCCAGCGCTGGGACAGATAAATAATATAGTACTTATAGGCTGATTTATTTAAAGAAAATTGTATTCCACGTGTTAGTTATATCATCATAACATATTGTAACAATGTAACTTACCGTGTTTGCAACACATCACAGAAAAACACTTACATATTAATAATAAATACTCCAGGGGAATAACATTGTAATACTGAAAACTGTTTCTAATAAAGATAATGATTCCTGTGAATTATTTCAGTTCAAGGACTTCTTCAAGCAAGATGATCGTTATAGTTTAAAATCTTATTAAAGCTGAAATAGTTAAATTAAAATATTTTATCAGAAATGAATGTCGCCCTCAATTGTTAACAAATTAAACAACAAACTGAGTTATATAAAAGTGCCAGTAATGAAGTGTTTCATATTCTCAGGCTGTTGGTCAAAATTAAAAGCTAAAACAAAGATATTTCACATGGAAGAGACCGGAATTTCTTATGACATTTCCTTGTTATAGTTGATCTTGTTTAACAGTACAGAATTTGCCATTTACCTCAACATTTAGACCAATTGTACCATTTCATTATTTGATTTGAATGTCTTATTTTAGTTTTTGTTATTATTATTTTATTGCAGTCACTACGTAAACGTCTGTACTTCCACATCATTACGTTTGCTGTGTCCATAACCGCACTTGTTCCAGCTCTTGTTATTTTTTTCAGTTACAAGTAAGTGGTTCTAGAATAGGAAAATATTTCGAAAAGTAATTAATATTAAATTAATTATTTAATATCTTAATTTGATAGATAGACAAAGAGAGTAATGTTGTTTGGGGGATGGACAAGTAAAACTAGGGTACTAACTACACCATGGGAATAGTACCTTGTAAGATAGGTATCTGCCAAACTAGGCCCACACACAAGTGAGAATATATAACATGCCAGGCGTACAACCTATAATAATCATATGCCTGTACAAGAACTATTATAAAACTTCAATACTTTAGCTTTTAACTAAGCAGTATATTATAGTGAGATATCATTAATACCGAATTATTCAGACTAGTTAAAGCATGAGTGTTTTAGTGTTAACGTAAAGTTGTTTGTTATTAAGCACAAAGCTACACAATGGGCTATCTGTGCTCTGCCCACCACGGGTATCGAAACCCGGATTTTAGCGTTGTAACTCCGCATACATACCGCTGTGCCACTGGGGGACGTTAACGTAAAGTAGATTAATCGGGAAATGAGACATTTGTTATTAACCACATTACAAAAGGTTAGATATATTAGTGAAATAGTTAACTCTAGTATGGATATCAAAAACATGTTTTTATGGTCATGTTTAAATGGAATAATGTTATTTACAGAGTTATCAATTCTGAATCTATAACCAGAAATTTAAGGCTAATCAGGTCTTTCAAAGAAATTTTTATATAGCGAGAGTCATAAAATCAAATTTGTTCTGAAAGAGCGTTTTTTCAATTTTTAAAACATTTAGGTCATGAAAAAGTATGATAATTTTGTATCCCAATATCCTGAATGTTACATCATGTTTAATTTAATTACTGGTTCACAGTCTTGTTTAATAGGATGGCTGGATGTTTTATAATAGTTTTTACTGAGCTCCTGTTAAGCTTGGACTTAACTGGATTATATTCAGTTGGAAAATTGCATGTAAATATGATAATTCTGATAATGCTACAGATTTAGAAATTAATATTTTATAAGTCAAATGTTTAGTACTATTAATTACAACTTATCAATTACTTTATTTACAAGTAATTTTTTTCATATAAAAAAGTAGATCTTGCTTTAGCTATTTCTTTTATAATAAAACTGCTTTAAAATTGTTAAAGTTTATTTTTCAAACTAATAGCAAATCTAAAATATAAGTTTACAATGGAAATTTTTTACTTTTGTCTTAATTTATTCAAAATTGATCATTTTCATTCTGAACATTATAGGTAAATTACCTATACATTGAGTTTGATTATTTATTTATTTAATGATTTTCTATTAACTCCACAACTACACTTCTTAATTAAACTATCTATATTTATATCCTTTATCAAGATTTTTAAGAGATTATAATATTGTACAATTACTCTGTTAACAGTGATAATAAGTTTCAAATAGAATCTGAGAAATCATTATTAATAGAATTACAATATAAATTATCTTTGATATTAACGTTTAGTTATTCAAAACATCTTTACAGAGTGTTAATCGCATTTTTAATAATGATTTATGTATGCTAATACAACAACGTGTCATCACAATGCGAGTCGTGGTACTACACGCGACATATTCAGCATCTATATACCTGGTTCACAGAGAATTCCCCATCATTTCGCATGTAATACCGTCACGGTATATTTATTTTCCGGGTTTAATGTCACAGACCTCTCCGAGGAAAGATATTCGTACATAAAAATTGTTAAACGATGTATAACCAAATGACGCACTATTTAGAAGAATGGATCCTTTGGTATGTTTCTGTCGAAGCTGAAACATTCGCACAGAATGCGTTTAGAATAGCCGAGTCTCGAAACCACATCCAAGCCAATTCGAAACACCCCCATCAAAGTGAAGACAATCGCTACGAAAGAGAATCCCCCGATCTAAAAACCTTATTCTGCTAAATTTATACATATCTCTAGGAACTATTAACAAGATAAGAACAAGGCTTTGAAGTGGATGAAGACTCTCAAGCTTAGAACCATACCTCGAAAATAAATGCTGTTTGACTAGATCACAGAATAACCAGAATAACTTTCATGCCAGTTAAGTTTCTCTAGCACCTTTAATGAACTTTGTTCTTAGAAAGTCGAAGTCTACATAGAGTGGAAAAAGTGTCAAGACATGTACACGGCGTGGTCACAAGTAAATAGACACCACCTTTTCAGAAAAAATTAAAATTTTCAGTCATATTCACATGAATTCATATATTTATAATTTAAGTAATATATAGTAGATCTTCCTTTCGCTTCGTGGAGTTCGTTGATCCTTTGGGGCATCGTGAGAATCACCTCGTCTATTTTAGATTGTGGGATTTTCGCCCACTCTTGCTTCAAAACTTGGAGTAGCTCACTCTTCGATGTTGGTTTTTTGGTTGTTTCTAAAAGTGGCAGGAAGAAAATGGTATCCAGAAGTTGCCCTGGCCGAGCCAATCTCCTGACATGAACCCCATCGAAAACCTCTGGGCCATACTCGACCGGCAAGTCATTCCTCGGGTTTCGTGGACAAGAACACAACGTTGTTCCAGGAAGATGGAGTACCGTGTCACACTGTTAGAAACACCCTAAAGTGGCAAGAGTCCTTCCTCCAATATTTCGACGTATTTCGCAAAATTTATGTTGCCAACGCACTCCACTAAGCTCGATCTCCCACCAACCCAAACCATCACACTGAAACCACCATGCTTCACAGTTGGCTGCAATCTGTTGAGCCAAAACTCTTGGTAAGGCATTTTCCAGACCCATATCTTTCCACTGTCCAAAAATTGAGCGAATCTTGATTCGTCTGAGAACAATACGGTCTTCCAAAAGTCCAGAGGCTTGGTCATCATATCATTTGCCCACTTCTTTTGTCTGACTATGTTGGCAGGTCTTAATAAGGGCTTCCGTCTAGCTGCTCTGCAGCGATAACCCAATCTGTGGAGAATCCGTTGATTACAATTACAATTCGTGTAATTTTTTTCCTCACGTATTTGTTTTGTTTTTCTCATTGTATCTTTTAATATCATATCGAATAGTTAATATTTTCTGGTAAATATATTTTCTTTCATTTTTCTTGTTTGTTATTAAGCGCAAAGCTACACAGTGGGCTCTCTGCGCTCTCCCCACCTCGGATAT